AACCCAGGACCTCAAGAATGCTGCGCAAGTGCTGCTGAGTTAGACCCGAGCCATAAACTAACCAGGCTTCTGCTCTTGTAAAAATTAAAAATTAGGGTGAACAAGAAAACGTCACCGTGAGGGCGATTCAACACTGCAGATGGTACCCAAAAAGAGCCTCTCCTGTTCCTGTCGCTAGTCACAACTGCACATTCACTGCCAGTGGCCTGTTCTGGCCAGTTCCCACCCATCCATGGCCCCTGCAGGGGATGTGGAGAAGCCACGCTAGTCAGTCATCAGAACCTCAAATCTGAGTGGATACCACAAGCACAGGCATCAAGAAGTAAACAGAGGCAGAATTTTAAATAACGTTTTCCTTCCTCAAATTTTCTCCGTCTGCATTAATGCTAAATGCTCAGTGGGACAAAACCAAAGTGTGCTCTACAGTGATACACGGGGCTCTTCTGGAGAGATGAACCTGCCAAACACTTGTTTCCCTCCCACAAGAGTTAAGAATCATCACTGCAAGAGGACTATGCTTCAAGGGAAATAAAATCAATCCTAGTTTCGATGTGACTTGTTCAGGGTTCACCTGTTTCGCCTAAACCACACTAATGAACAGGTGGATAAAAATGAAGCCAAGTGCATCAAAGGAAACATGCAATCCTGAAGCACAATGCACCTGCAAGTTTCATCATGCACAGGACACCCAGCCCTCTGACTTCAGGTCTGACAAGCCCATGGCGAAACTGCTCCACCCGCTGAGCGCAACTTCCTCCTGCCCTGGAGCCAGATCAGACCCAAGTGGCCCTCCAAAAGAGGAAAGGCAGCAAGTGGGAACACTGGTGGCCCCCCAGAAGCAGAAGAGACTTCAGAAGATTCTAGAGGGGCCGAGCTGGGTGCTGGGAGCCGGGTGTCGGGAGCCCGGGGAGGTGAGGCCACCGGGGCTGCTGGTCCACAGCAGTTTGATTCATCTGCTTCCCAGGATTTCAGCATCAGACAACTGCTCATCATCCTCAGGGAAAATCTCTCTGGATAGAGCAGAGGTGCCGCTGCCAAGCCAAGCCCAGTGCCCCAACAGCACAGAGAGAAAGCAGCTCTGCCCCTCCCTCAACGCAGAGAGAGCTGTATCTTCCCCTCCCTTGCTACACACCCAGCTGGGGGGCAGGAGGCTCAACTTTTCTAAGCCTCTGGGAAGCCTTTTTACACCTCGGGAGCAAGGAGAAAGAGAGAGAACTCCCCCCGGTGGAATTTGAGATGTCTAAATAAATTTAAAACGTACCTCCACACAGTCTGCCTGGTTTAACTCCACTAAAAGGAATCTCAACGCACTCACACAACTGGCAGGGGGACAGGGCAGCTCTAGGGTCTGAGCACAATCTGTGTTCTCTGCACCTCCCACAAAGGAAAGAGACAGGAAACTCAGGAACCACAGAGAGAAGAAAAAGATGACTTAAAAAATAAAAAAAAATTTAAAAAAGCTGCTAGGCAAGAAGCAGCCCCAGTGACTTCCCCAAACCCCAAAGGACAAGCCCAGGGGCATCTGGCCAAGACCACCACTGAGCCCTCCAAGGGGTCTTAAGGTAGGCCAGCACCATCTTCCACAGGAGCCTACCTCCCCTGAGTAGGCAACCTGATGACTCTGCCAGCCATGATCTCTCCAGCTGTGGGCAGAGCAAAACAAGAAACTCCCAAACCAGGCTAGCAAGACTACCTACAGAAGACCCTCAAGCCCCCTGAAATACAGACTGCTAACCGGGTACAGTGACACAGGCCCATAATCCCTACACTTGGGAGGCAGAAGCCAGCCTGGGCAGGAAAACAAGATCCTTCTCACCACCCCTGGCCCCCAAAAAAGAATGCAGACAGCTGCCTAACAAAGCTGGTCTAACCTACTGACTCCCAAGATTAACCACGCCTGCCCTGCCTCCCATGTACCAAACACATGTACTTGCTAGATAGGTCCAACACCTTCCCTGAGGAGCTACCAGGATTAACAGGCTCTAGCCGCATTCTGTCGGGACCTTCCTATGTTCTCTTGACCTAAAACTTTTCAGGAAGACTCATGCCACACCAGGTGATGTGGCACAGGCCTGAAGCCCCAGCTCTGAGGGGGCAGAGGCAGGAGGATCAACACAAGTTCAAGGCCAGCCTAGTCTACAAGAGCAAATTCCAAACCACCCAAGATTATATAGTAAAACATACCACATTAAACGGGGGAGGGATGCGGAGAGCTGACTCAGTGGGTCAAGGTACTTTCCACCAAGCCTGACCAATGAGTTCAATCCCCAGAACCACACTGTGGAAGGAAAGAACCAACTTCTGAAAGCTGTCCTCTGACCTCCATTCAAGAACTGTGGCATGTACGTGCGCACATGTGCGCACACGCACACACAATAAATAAATGCAAAAGTTTTTTTAAAGCACTCAAGCCAAAAAATTAAGAGCCCACTTACACACAACCTTCAAATTAACCATCTCAATTCACCACCTCACCAGTTACCTAAAACACAAATGTACAACATCCATAGGATCTGTGAACCATTGGCTGGGGAGCACAGCAGTGGTGGCCTCTACCCTTCTGTCCCTCTTCCTTCCTCACACTATCTTTCAGGGTTAGCCACAGGCAGGCTACAGCTACCTTCACTGCTGCAATTAAAATGAAAATTGCAATGAAATCCTCTTTCAGGCTTTTCACATAGCCGGTACAAGCTTGGGCTGTGCATCTGTTCTTACAAACTCCAAAGACACCTGGAACAGGCAGACACTCTCATTTGATCAATACGACAGGTATGTAGCCATAATTTTTTAAGACTTTATTTATGTGTATGTGTATGTCTCATGTATGTGGTACCCAAGGAGGCCAGGAGAGGGTGTAAGATCCCTGGAACTGGAGTTACAGGCAATTGTGAGCCACCTGATGGAACCAAACTCAGGTCCTCTGCAAGCACAGTAAGTAACCCTAACTGTTGAGCCATCTCTCTAGCCCCACAATCACATTTTATAAAAGGACTTCAAAAATGAAATAGTGTTAGTTTTTCTAAAGCTACTGTAGAGGCCTGGGGTAAAGCTAGATGGTTCAGTGCTTGCTTACATGTGCAAGCCTCTTGGTCTGATAGCTAGCACCACCAGAAGAAACTATGAGCTGAGGAGAAAGATAAACACCTGGAGTACTACCTGCTGAGTGAAGTCATTATTACCACACACAAGAGAAAACTACTGATACATATTCAAGAGACCTGAAAGCATAAACTAATACAACACAACTTCTACATCCCAGCAGCGTTGCTCACGATAGCCAAAACCAACCACACAGAGGTCATAAAAAACAAAGTACCAACACCATAGAGTGCTGGCCCTTACGAACACCAGGCTAAGTGAAGAAAGCTTCCAATGCACAATTCTATGTACGTGGAAGACCCAAAACAAGCACCTCCACAGAGAGGTGGCACTATGGAGACTGGTGTGGCATGTGGAGTGACAACGTGCTAGAGGGAGACAATGGGGGATGCACAACTTCGTGGACATACCAAATGACTGAACTAGTCACCTCATGGGCAAACTGCTCATGACCAGTGAGATACATCTTGATTCTAAACTGCTATAACACCATGAGTGGGTGTACGAGACACAGGAAACGTCCTATCTGCCCAGGTTTCTTTCCCACATTTTTAGTAACAGACCCATGAAGGCAATAGTAACACAACTGGAAAGAAACAGATGTCAAAACATTTTTCATTCCCCCATACAGGATGCGCTCAGGGCTGCAGCAGCAGATATGGGGGTCTAGCACTCTCCACTCAATCTCCCTACCCACAGTGGCCTATCCACTCTGAGGGATACTGGCCACCTGCATGCTCTCTATCAGGCCTAACACCTCCCACCTGCATCAGGACCTGCATGGTGAGGGGCACAGAGAGGAAAACAATGTATGACTGGTTGCCTCCAATCAAACACCCTCCAAAGGACCTGCTCTCACTGACCTGTCTTCCTCAGCCTCCAAGACAAGGACGAGACCACACTCAAATAAACCTTAACCACTGCAATCAAAGAAAGAGCAGAAGAGGTTGCTGACCTGGAGCTGCAGCCCCAGAGGGCCATCCACAATCCTCAAGAATGCCAAACCCTGGGGCTGGAGAGATGGTACAGAGGCTAAGAGCACTGGCTGCTCCTGCAGAGGACCTGGGTTAGGTCCCCAGCACCCACACGGCAGCTCACAACCATCTCTAACTCCAGTTCCATGGGATCCAACACCCTCTTCTAGCCTGCCAGGGCATCAGGCAAATACATGGTACACTTACACACAGGCAGGTAAACACACTCATAAAATTGAAATAAATTTTATTCAAAATAAATAAATAAAAACAAGAAGCCAGGTGTGGTGGCGTACACCTTTAGCCCCAGCACTTGGGAGATAGAGGCAGGTCAATCTCTGTGAGTTTGAACCCAGCCTGGTCTACATAGAAAGCTCTAGGCCCGCCAGAGTTACATAGTGAGACCGTGTCTCAAAATTTTTTAAATTAAAATAAAATCTTTAACAGGAGAGAAGACTGCCAACAGGCAAAAGGACACAATGGGCCTCCCTAGATAGGCACCAGGGTCTCTGCCAAAACATGGATACTAAAAATGCCGTGATCCACATCTCCAAATAAAATCAGATGTCAACTAGCTGCCTTCTCCACGAACTGTGCCGATGAACCTTAGTAAGACCTCAAGGACCTGGCTGTGGTGTGGGCAGCACTGCCCTCTGGTGGTGAAGCACCACTCTTCAGCCTTCCTGAGCAGCTGTGTACACCTCTGTACAGCCCACTGGAGTGGAGAAAGAAACCATAATCCTGTGAGGCAAATAAACCCCACCCTGTTCCAATAAGTCCAACCTGGAATCCCAGCAGACCAGCACCTACAGTCCAGGGTCAGCATCACTCCTGCAGCCTCCCAGCACAAGCTGCCCCGTGAGGCAGTGCTCATGAGGGCCAGGAGAATGTCGTCCAGCCTACCAGAGCCCTGTGGGCAGTGCTCACCAAGGCCTGCAGCATGCCATCCATAGTAATGACCCCCTCGATGGTATGGAAAGAGGAGCCTGCCAAGGTGCACAGGCTCCAGTCCAGGAAGCTGGCCATCTTTCTCTGCTTCACATCGGGACGTGCGATAAACCTGTGGGGGAACAAGGAAGCGGGAGACAGCTCAGCAAGTCTCCAAGGTGGAGAACTCATCCATGTCCCAACACGCACTGCACACATGTCCCCCTCGGGTACCCTCCCAGTCACATGTCCCTACACAGGTCAGCTGCCCCTTTACACAAACCCTCTCTCTGGAAACCAGGTCGCTCACCATCACAGCCCAGCAGCAGATTCCCCACCAGGATCTGATGTCACACACTGGCTTCACATCCTCACCTCCACCCTCCTGGGCCCCCGCAACTCATCAGTAGCTTCACAGACCAACAGACATCTTTGTCCCCACCATACCAGGAAGCAGCTACCAACTTCCCAGCCCTGACTCCTTCCAATTGCACCCTTACCTTAAGACATACCCCCAACAGCCTGGCCCAGGGCCAACCCCAACCCAAGGACCTTTCTACCACAACCTCTATGGGTCACATTACATTCACCCCACATGCTACACTGGCCCATTTTGTCACCCCTAACACCAGCTGACAATGTAAGCCCAGCTCTCTGCTCAGTGACTCTAGACAGGCCTTGCAATGGAGAAAACATGCAAAGTCCTGACCTCGGGAAGATGTCAAAAGAAAAAGCAGAAACATGAAAAAGGAAACCGGAAAGCAAATGGAGGGGGAGGACAGAGAAGGTGCTGCCTCCCCACAGAAGGCACACAGACAAGCGCAGGGGGCTGCAAAGTAGAGCGGAGCTGGGAGGGCCACCAACCAGATGGAGGAGCTCTGGTCCCAGGAAGCAGTGAGAGCACAGCCCTGGGGCCAAAGGAGCTAAGACGAGCTGTGTAGGGGCCAGGCGGCAGGGATGACCAGACTCTTGCCCTAAGTAGTACTCACAAAGCCCTGTGTTTACCTCCTGCTAAGGTTCATGGGCACAGACTCCCTCCATGGGAAAGTCAACCATTAAAACTTTAGGCAAGTGTAACATCTCTTGCTGTAAGAAAAAAAGTTCTAATGCTGCTTCTTCCCACCCCCTAAGAGTGTAGGTGCAGGTGCCTACCTGGAGATGCCTGACCGGTCTGCAAGGAGTGTGTGCAAACCTTAGGAGGCCAGGCAGAACTCATGTGTCCTCCCAGGGATACTATTTCAGTGGGCAGGAAAAGGAGGCCCAGGGCTTTCATTAAAAGGGCTTTCATCATCACATGATGATATACACCTTTAATCCCAGCACTCGGGAGGCAGAGGCAGGCGGATCTCTGTGAGTTTGAGGCCAGCCTAGTCTACATAGTGAGTTCCAGGCCAGCTGGGGCTACAGGAGACCCTGTCTCAAAAAGACCAAAAAATAAATAAAAAGACCAAAAGAAAAAAAAAAATCTACACTCGAGCATGAGGATCTGAATCACATACAGAAAACTCCACGGCACTATTTCTAGTGTCAACAGTTAAAGGCGTGATCCTCAGCCTGACCTCCAACCCTGAACCCCCAGGATAAAGCAGTGAGCACTCAGGATCATGAGCAAGGCTGCCAGCCAACCCTGAGAGGGGCAGAGTGGGAGGAGATATAAGCACCAGCTGGGGCGACAAGTCAGCACACTGCCCTGTGCCTCCATGCCCCCTCCCGTGCCCTCCAGAAAGCACATAAGAGCCAGCTCAAGACTGCTTCCTATCACACTCACAGCCTCAACATCAGTGTCCCCACAGGGAGAGCAGAGGAGATAGTGCACACATATCCAACTCAAGTTCATGTATTAATAAAATCACACAAGGCAAGTTTGCAAAGGAAGTAGGCCCTCACATGACATTATAGGTTATATGTACTTTTCCCACTTAAAAAAATAACAGAACCAAGTGCGGTGGCGCACGCCTTTAATCCCAACATTTGTGAGGCGGATCTGTGAGTTCGAGGTACCTATCATCACATCATTCAGGAAGCTGACCCAGATCCTGGTGAGTTTAAGCCCCAGCCTGGGACACAGTACAAGATCCTGTCTTTAAAAAAAAATTTACTATAAGTCCCTAAGAGCAAGTTCCCAGAAGCTTGGAAAATTCTTTCCTTGTAGTCATCCACTGCCCTGGCTCTTACAATCTTCCCACCCCCTCTTCTGCAGTGGTCCCTGAGCCCTGGGTAGCAAAGGTTTATAGTACAGGAGTCCTGTCCCGGGACACAGTCTGTAGTCTCTCATTCTCTACATTTTGGCCAGTTGTGGCCTTCTGTGTTAATCGCCCTCTGTTACATAAGGAAGCTTTGCTGGTGGGCATTGAGAGATGCCTTAGTGCTCTCTCTACCCCGTTCCACTGTGCTCCCTGAGCCTCAGGTGTGGCAGTTCCATTGCAGATGTGCCACTTAGGGGTGGGCATCTCACAGACACTTATTCTCTGTGTCTGACAAGTTGTGGAACTTTGTAATAGAACTCACAGCAATGGTGACAGCATGCACAAGACCCATACATACTCAAACGAAACAAAAACCCGGTATTGAACTGGGCAGAAAGTCTCAACCTTAGCCAAGGAACTACTGGCAGTTGGTCACCGCTGGGTGAGAGAGAGCAGGTCTTCTTTAAGGGAGTGACGCTACATAAGCTGATCAGGCTCCAGTGGATGAAATCACAGAGGAACATCTAGGACACAACAGGCCTTAACATGACAGAATGCATGAAATCTGGTGGGGGGACAATGGGGTGCAGACAGGAGAAGGGGTTTAAGAATATGATTAAGGGACTGGAGAGACGGCTCAGTGGTTAAGAGCACTGACTGTTCTTGCAGAGGACCTGGATTCGATTCCCAGCACCCACATGGCGGCTATGAGCCGTCCTTAACTCCAGTTCCAGGGGAATCCAAAGCCCTCTTCTGACCTCCATGGCACTGCACGACATGGGTGCACTCACATACATGCAGGCAATACACTCATACACATAAAAATAATAAATATTTTTTAAAAAGAATTATGATTAAGAATTTAAAATTCTCAAAAAAAGACCAAAAAAAAAAAGTTTAAAATTCTTAATGGGGGTGCAGATAGGGGAGGGGGTTTATGAATATAATTAAGAATTTTGAAGCTAAGTCCTGATCTGGAGCTGGAGTGCTGCTGCTAAGTCCTGATCTGGAGCTGGAGTGCTGCTGCTAAGTCCTGATCTGGAGCTGGAGTGCTGCTGCTAAGTCCTGATCTGGAGCTGGAGTGCTGCTGTTAAGTGCTGATCTGGAGCTGGAGTGCTGCTGCTAAGTCCTGATCTGGAGCTGGAGTGCTGCTGTTAAGTGCTGATCTGGAGCTGGAGTGCTGCTGCTAAGTCCTGATCTGGAGCTGGAGTGCTGCTGTTCTCATAACCACGAGCCCCTGAGAACAGCTCTGAGAATCACGGCAGAGCTTGACTAAAGAACCAGACCTTCAGGCACTGGTAAAGCACCCATGAGCTCCCACACTCAGGAACTGCCATCTCATGGGAGAGCAGCTCAGGCTCCCAATCAGCACTGCTATCCCAGTGCTGTGAGATGAGTGAGACCCACTTCTCAGGGTGCCAGAAGAATATGAAGGATTGTCAAAGCACTGTGTACATCATTATTTTGTTAATGGTACCTTTAAACTCTCACCATAAGCTCTGCCTCTGCTATGCATCATCCTATAATAACCAAAGAATCTGGGGTATGGGACAGTTGTGACTCCCTCATCGGCAGTTGTTGGACTACCTTTGCTGCTCCTTTGAGCAAAAACGGCCATCAGGTACTAAACAAGCCAGAACCCTTTCAGACACACTGCACCAGACTTTTTTTGCTAGCACAAGTCTCAGTGAACTGTAGATGGCCCTACAACCATTCCAACCCAGGCCAGACCCAGGAGCACTTCCCCTGGAAGCCTCGCAGAAGGCCTACAGAGAAGAGCAAAACCTATAAACACAAATCGCTTGTATGAAAGGCTTGCTATGACTGTTGGCTCCCTCTGGCTACATAAGTAGGCCGTTTTGCTCAAGTAGAATGCCGGCTAGAAACGCTCTCCTGTGATGTCTCCCTGGTATTGCAATATGAGGTCACATAAAAGGCCTTTTTCATAGTCTTTCCTTACCTCCTTTTGGTCAGTGGGCTAGGCAGGAAAATAAGAAACAGCAGGGAGGCTGGAGAGATGGCTCAGTAGTTAAGAGCACTGGCTGCTCTTGCAGAAGACCCAGGTTCAGTTCCCAGCACCTATACGGCAACTAACAACTATCTATAACTCCAGTTCCAGGGAATCCGATGCCCTCTTCTGGCCTCTGTGGGCACTACATGACATGGGTGCACTTTCATACATGCGAGTAAAACACACATATACACAAAGTAAAAATAATAAAATCTAAAAAAAATTTAAAAAAAAAAAAAAAACAGCAGAGACAGCAAAACAGGCACAGAAATGACAGAGTAACCTGCACTGAAGCCACACAAGTGGCAAAGCTGCTGCCCGGCCCCCCAGCTGGAGGGAGGCAGAGCAGCAACCAGAGGAGGCAGAGCCACATGACTGCGGCTGACAGCCACCCACCCTGCTGAAGCGAAGCCTGAATCAGCAAAGGGACAGTGGCAGCTGCTGCCAAACAGCAACAACTCTGACAGTGACTGTAGCGGACAGTTGGATGGACAGTTCAAGACAGCAGCCAGGGCAGAGCAAAAATGACAGCAGAAGGAAAGAGAGAGGAGAGCTAAGACTAAAGGTCAGAAGTCTACAAAAAGCCAGAATCGAGAAACTGTAGGCTCTGGTTCCCAACAGAGACTGGCAAGCCTGTAAGTCCCAGGGTCCCAAACTACCCAGGCCAGCGAGCTGTGGCACTGACCACTGCTGACAGCTGAGGAACCCAATACACAGACTAGAGGGAAAGGGAAACGTCTCATAACATAAACCTAAAGATGCCAAGTAGAAGAGTCTGTGCCCCCAAAACCAGAACAAATGTAACTATTTGCTAAACTCTTAATTGGTACCAATTTTGAGCTTAACAGTAAAAATAGTCAAATAATTTTTTAATAACTTGTTTGACATTGAAGTTAAAAGGTTTACTTCAGTTACTCATGGTTGTGCACAATCATA